TGTAGACCAAATTAGAATTAGGAAATTTGATAGTACTGTTAGTGAGACTAGGGTAAATGAGGAGTTACCAGAGATTCCAATTGTTAGTACCGGTAAACAAGTTACTCCTTCATTAAGTGTTCCAGTTTCTAACGAGGACTTAAATCCCAGTGTTGTTCTTGATACAAGTCCTAGTAACATTACTGATTGTAATCCTTGCCCAGATCACTCAATTATTCAGACTCCTCCAGATACCACTCCTAAAGATGCAGTTAAACCAAAGATTTCTAGCCCAGGTGTTATTACTACTAGGTCTGGACGCATTGTCCACAAACCAGATAAGTTGAACTTGTAATTCTGAGTTTATTAGTGTTTTGACTTTCCTCATTGTAAGCCATTTTAGGGGGAAGGGATGTGATAACTTCGTATCTATATTTAGTACGCTAGATGTTCTTTTGTTAGTGGTCACATGACCACCTTTGAGTTTGTTATGGCGGCAAAGCTTGCCAAGTTGTAGTCTGCAGTTCCACAGAATAAAACTGAGTTAACGTGTTAATTGCCGTTTTTCCTGTGTGGATCTTTGCGGTGGTGGATAGGCAAACACTCGGTTACCACAAGATATATACATGTATTCAAAATAGCTGATTTTGTTTTAATTAATGCCGTTCCAGAGCAATATCTCTCAATATGGACAAGTACTCATTTGACAATCAGATACAAATGTCAATCATTTTAATGTTAAACAATCATCATAATCCATATTCCTGACATGGTTATATTCCAGCTATATTACTATAAACAAAACTATATATCTTAAATTTGATAACTGTGCCATGCATGGCTTGTTTAACTAATTAAAAATGAACTCGTATTGACATAACATTGACTTTATAACGACTGATTTCCTTTGTGTCTAAATGCAAAATTCTGATTTTGGTCTATGCTAAACTACATAGCTGTAACATGTAACTGAAATGCATGATCCACAGTGTATGACATTGTATATCATGCATTTCAGTTACATGTACTATATTAGGATCTGACAGATTAATAAGTTAATGATTAATTCTTAACATAAAGCTTTACTTAAAACAAGTAATTCTTACCTAGGATTTTATTAGCAGTCATATTAATAATATAATTAATAATTGTAACCTTTTGATGATACAATGTAAAATATGTAGCCAATTGAAAATTATGTCCATTGGTTGAAAAATATTTTCATGAACCATTTGGTAGAAAAAAAAATACAAAATTACAAATTTAACTTCATTAATTATTGGATTTTTTTTGTCATAAACATCTTCATAATTGCTGCTACCGGTAGTTTTTGACTCCCATGTGCGAAGCACAAAAGGGAGTCTTTGCAGTTACCCTGTCTGTATGTCTGTATGTATGTATGTATGTCACTTTTTTTGTTCCACCGTTATCTCAAGAACCACTAATCAAATTTTTGTGAAACTTGGTACATAGATGCTCTGGGATAATGCGCAGAGTTGATTAGGTTTTGGTAAAAATCTATGAATATTAATTAACTAA